CTTCTCTCAAGAAGTAGCGCAAGCCAAATAAAACTGATGATGAATGAACTGAATCAAACTCAATTACAGCTTTAGAATATAAGTCTCGCCAATTTGGTGATCTTGGTAAAGTATAATCACAGATTAAACCAACAGTTAGAATTTAGATAGAAACAGTCCATCGTAGTCCGCAAAATCAAGAAAATCTTTTATTGGTGAAAAGGATCTTTTTCCATGAATGTTGACAAGAAGCCAATTCAGTGATGAATAAATAACATCTTTTAGAAAAAAGCTCGTGATTAATATAACATGTTCAGTTCTATTATGGATGAACGTACAGTTGTGTATCAGATTCTAATTACAATAGCCAGCCAAACAAATACCAGAATACCACTGATCACTGGCGGTACACCTGACACCCTGGCCAACTTTTCCTGCTTGACGACTTTCATTGGAGCAGTAGTTGTTTGAGTTATTATCTGGCAAACAAACACCAGAATAGCACTGATCACTGGTGGGACACCTATCCCCTCCGTCTACTTTACCCGCCAGATGATTAGCATTACAACTAATAGAAGTGTACAAGATTAAAAGTGTGTGGAAGTGTATCTTTTAAATAACATTATTTGATGGTAGTTGGCGTACGTCGAGTTGAATTTGTTTTAATGAACTATGTAATCCTCTGAGACGAAAGAGAACCATTTTATACTTTTCTGTTTGTTTGTTCAAGTAGTGTAAGAGGAAACGAAGCAAATATACTATGAAACTAACGTATGAATGCACTTCTGCACAATAATAATAAAGCATAGTTTTATACTTTAGCCGCTGTTTTCACAAGCTATACCTTCTCGCAGCGTCACTAGCGGAATATCTAGTAAAGATTAATAAGTAGATTTATGAAGAAAAAAAAATCGATTCAACGAAGAAATCCGCGCTCCCGATATCCCGCGCTCGAAAAACACAGTAGTATTCAGAAAAACTGACAAAACAAAAGTTTTCCATCTCGACACACCCGCAGCGTACCAAACGAAATCAACTGAGTATGTGGAGAAGACGAGCGCATACGAAGAAATACAGCAGAACCCGGTCCGACGCACTATCTCGACGTGCTGCCACTGGCATAGAGACGAGCAAAGTGAGTCGATGAGCGCCTCAACATCTCTTCATCATCGAGTGTCAGTTAGTGATCAGGTATGGGATAACGTTTGATACTTTAATAGTCGTACCTTTAGGACTAAGAAAATGCGGAAGGTGTTACATAGTAGCGTTGCAAAGCATTCGTCCGTAGCGGGGGCTTCTTCTCGCCAAATTTGTCTAATAGAAACGAGGACGCACCTTTTTCTCTTGCCTGAATAAATGGCCGCGAGGCGTCCCGCGTTTGGAACTTCGAATCTAAATACGTTTTCCCGTTGTACTAGGAAATACGTAGACTTATTTCGCTCACTGTCAAATGTTTTTATTAAACCAAAAGGGTAAAGAAAGTCGGGTGTCATTTTTCAGGATCAACGATTAAGGAACAACTACAGATGACACCTGCCACCCTGGCCAGCTTTTCCTGGTTGAGGACTATCATCGGAGCAATATTTGTTTGAGTTCTCATGTGATGTTAAGGATAAACAAATTCCAGAATAGCACTGATAACTCTCTTAATGAAGTAAGAATGTAAAAGTGTACATTTTCGTGATGAAGGCTTGAGATCTAGAATAGTAAACAGAAGACATTTCACTGTCATTCATTTTCTGATTTCAATCATAAAAATCTCGGATTTAACAGGTACAAAAACAAATAAATAATTATTGAAAAAGTAAAAGAATAATAACTCTTTTCTTTTTTTCATTTGTTTAGCGTAATTTGAAAATATTGATTTCATATATCAAATTAGCGTAAACAAATAAATATTCATCAGGATTGATACTTAACAACATTGATACACAAGTATACAATAATTATTGTTTTTTAAAAATAGAACATCTATTTTATTATGAAGAAAATGTGTGCTCATTTTTAAAATTGTGTTCAAACGATATAGTGATAAAAAGCACTTTTCGAAATTGCATCTACCATTTTGTTAAAAAGTAAGTGAAAAACCTCCAGTTTCTTCTTATCCTCCAAAACACTTAGGAACATCGTTAAAACTTCTTTTTGTAGTATATAGATCATTTTTTTCAATTTCTGCCACTTCATTTAGTCGATCATAGTGAAAATCTGAGTCATTTCTTGAAATTATTAGGCGTGGAACAGTTCCCGTTCCTAGTAACTGGAACTGGTTACCAGTTACCGTTTTCTTCATAATCAAGATGTAGAAAAGTTAATGCTCATCTATCTCGTTTTTTATATTGTAATAAACTCATCTAGTTCAGGTCCCATGGACAACGTTACCATATTTTCCATAGAAACCATACACGTATAGAAAATCTTTATTCTACAGCCTTTAATGTGAATGTTCCTATACTATGGAAAGCGCCTATTTCGCGTTAAAAGATATTAAAGAGCAACAAACATTCACTTAGAGATGTAAAATTATGTCGGTTTAATGGAATAGTAACTGGTCACCAGTTCTTACTAGAAACAACGAGAACTGGAACTGTCCCGCCTCTAGAAATTATCTTACTAAGATAGTGTAAGATAATACATTCTAAGATCGTAATTAGGTTTCGAATAAGGTTTGATCATTCGACTCTTTTCATTCGTCCTCTTATTTTCTTTCATGTATCTATATAAATAATATCAAAATTTAAAATGAAAAAAAGACCTTCATGATGTCATTTTTGTTTGTTGACGAGAGTCCACGTCAAGAAATGGACATCTGTCTAATGATATATGAAATTTCTCTTTGTTCTTAACTCCAGCTCGACTACAATTTTTATCTATATGACGACTCAAATTAAAATTTGGTTATGTGACAGATAGGAGTAGGCGGCTTGTCCATGCCTGACGCTGTGACATTTTTGACACACTAAATCGCTCTTATCTGAAAAACTATTACAGCTAGTCAGAAGTGTCCGAAATGGTTTGATAAGACGTAATCTTCAATTCACCTCAATTTTCTTGTTTTCCGCCAAAAAGAGTATTTCGAGGTCCCGTAGCCGAAGAAACATCGAAAAACTAAAATAGATAGTGACTAAGATTTAGAATTTTATGCTGAATCCGAATATAAAATTAGAAAAATTACAAAGCTCAAACTCTTTTGAAAATCGGCCAAAACTGATGAAAATCGTGTTTTCTGACGGTATTCGCCCTAAATGACCCATAGAGAAACCCAGTCATCTCGTCAAACTTTTATCCAATATGGAACTTTTCACGCTCTATCCTCCGCCGGCACTAAAAAAGAACAGAAAACACTTGTACAACAGAGCAGAAAACGCAACTTCAATGATTTTCAGCAGGTTTTCAGTGGTATTTCCTAAATTTCGCCACTAAAACAACATTTCAGACAAAAGCGAAGGTCATATTCGAAATGTGCGTGAAAAATAGAGCCGAATGACATATATCTCATGTGTTTTCCATTACTCTCACTTTTCACCAAAAAATTCGCCCTTGGTATCCCTCAGGAAAACGGAATATTAATTTTCTTAAAACTCAGTTTTCTCATCAAATCTTATTAAATCTTTTCGATCTTTCGATTTTAGTAACATTTGTCCAAGGTCTTAAAAAAGAGAAAGCGATACTCTGTCCCTCCGCAAAAAAAGACTAGTTTAATCAACAATACTTTAGCCTGTACTTCTAATGTAAAATCTTCGGGGCAACGATACACACCTTTCTCCTATATGTCTTTCTCTCTCATACACACTCTTTCTCTCTTTCAACTTCCAGGTAATTTATTGACAATGAGACGATTGGGTGATATCCCTCACATTAATTTACAATTACCGATTACACAAGGAGATGGCTATGAAATTTACGATTCATTTCGATCATTTTCAAATATTCGAACGGCACGATCATCCACATCATTACGTAAATCGTTGCTTGAAACATCTCAGCAACGAAACGTACTACCACCAAATAATCGATCAAGATCACGTTTACGAAAAATTTATGTAGGCGATCATCAATCTCGGGTAAATGGTCAATTGGCTAGTGTAAATTTATTAAAATTAAAATCGTCTTATTTATCAACCACTACTGAAAATACACACAAATCATCACAAGTCGATACAATTTCAAATTCATTAATCAATTCTAGTTATTCCAAACGTTCATTGAAAAAAATTGTCCAAAACTCTCAACAACAATCTGCCCAAAAAAAACAGTTCGTCGATACCAGAAAAGATTCACCCGTAAGTAAAGCGACAAGATCATCGTCAGGTGATCGTCTTCTAGAACACTCTGAATCCGTATTTGGTGAAATTGAAGAAATAAAAAAACCATTGACAAATCCCGCCACATGGGCCTCACATCCACAACATGTAGATATATTACAAAAAAAAATGTTACATTCACGTGCAAAAAATAGAGAAAATAAACATAATAATAGCAGAGAAAGTCATAAAAATGGTGATCGAGAAATTATGAGTGAATCGAAAGAGTCATTGTCAAATGATGTACTCTATCATCGTATTGAACAACTTACACGTCTCTATTTTCCAACAATTCAAATATTAAGACATACACAATCGCCAGAAACGAATCTAAATCGAGTAAAATTACATCGACAAATGGTGAGAAAACTACCAAAACTATGCGCTGAACTCTAAATAGTGTACACAACTATCTCTTTTTTAATAGAGAAAAAAATTCAATCTCATCACACTCTTTTTTTCTATTTACCGAACAACGGCGATGTATAAACTTGAATTAAAATCTTTTTTGTCTATGTGACTTTGAATAATTTAATGACAGGGGGCTTAATAAATACATTCTATCCTATTCTTTTGATGACTGAACAAATCATCTGTTGTATTTTTATCCACATTTATATGCAAAGCTTCAAATTTCGTTTCTTTTTATTACTTTTGTACACACAGATGAATGCATGTTTTATATAAAAATCTTTTTTTTCTTTTTTTACAATATGTTTGATAAAAATTTTATAAACTTCATTTCCTTTTTGAAATTAAGAGAATAACATGGAACATAGATTCTTAGCGTAATTGTTAATAAATGGTAAGTCGACATTTGGAATTAAGTCATACGACATATGTAAAAATGGTCTCCCATTTTTATTTATTCGTCTTATAATGACGAGAGAAATATTTTCAGATTTCGTTCAACGTCAGTCTAGAAAAGAAGAATAAATTTTTTACACGAAATTTATTTCCTTTTCTTCTCTTTTTTACTTTTTATAGTACACAACTATATATTTGAAACAATAGCATCAATTATTTTTTCATTAATTTATTTGAATTTTCTTTTTTTTCCACTATTTTTATCTGTCACGCACAGTCTGACTCTCATTGGAAAATAAAAATAAACTGATTTTGGAAAACAATGGTTTTATCTAATCATGAAAAAAACAGACATGAAAACAACATTGTATAAATAAATGACGAGATGATGTTTAGTGAACTTTTTTCATTCTCCTATTCATTATGACAGAGTTTACTTATATTCCAGCCGGTACATTTTACACACATGTATAAGAGTAGAAGAAATAAAACAAATAGGATACAAAAATGAGAGAACGAGAATACTAGAGTAAAAAAAGAAGTTTGCGCGTTTTGTTTATTTTATAAAATTTCCATAAAAAGAAGAGAAAGACTTGAAAAATGTGGCATTGTTACCATTATGTCACATTTTTGAATATTATAGTAGATGTGCAGTTGAAAAAAACTATTCAGATCTAGAATGGTAATAGTCACACAAACATATTATTGTCAATACTTGTGTCAATGATCAGATTCAACGTGTTTCCAATCGAATTAATGAGAAATATAATGATCAACTTTGTCAATTTCTCAGGTATTAAAATTGAAACGATAAATAAGTTTAACCCTTTGAGTACGTAATTATTTTCTCAAAAAGTAATCCCGCAAAAGTGGCAACACCCCTGTAACTCAAGAACCATGATAGCTAGGGTCTTCTAATTTTATGTACTCATAGCTCTTACCAAATGCTGAATACTCATCAAGTTTGCGCCTCTTTTACCCAAGCAAATATCACCTATGCGAAAAATCTAGATACATTTCGTCTGTAATCGGGCGATACACGACTAGTTGCTATCTAGATTACTAGTTGGAAAAGGGACTTTTAACTAGATGCGTCTGTAGATACATCTAGTAATAACTAAATCGATCGATTATCGGGCGATAAATCGATAGTTGCAACTAGAAAAAATCTAGTAATTGCGATTACTCGATTTCCATTGTCGTTACATAGTAGTTGCAGTCGAGTAAAAATCTAGTAATCTAGATGAATCGGGCGATACTAGATTTTTTTTTGACGCTTGGGTTACTGGATGACTCATGAGATATAAGCGATTTATTTCTTTTTCGTAAAATATCAATAGCTCCTGATCTAAGAGAGATGAAAACTTTTTCTTTTTACAAAAATGTTGCCACGACTCTACTCTATATACGATATCAATTTCGTGAGTTGACTGTTAGAATTCAGTGAAATACAACTATTTTACGGATGAAATCGGCTTTTTTTGTTGAAAATTCGAGGTTCTTTGCGAAAAAAGTTCAAAATTCCGTCTAGGAATGTTATTTTGACTTCAAATTTGCACCAAATACTCTACAGTGTCTGTAGACTATTCAGCCAAAGTATGAAGGTTAACTATTGTGTGGTTCTGGAAATTCATTGAAGACGAGCACCCACGATTGAAACGTCTGTAGAAGAGCGAAGGTGATTAACTAAGAGTCGCTCTTTGTACTATAGTATTTGCATTTGAATGTACATTATAATCATGAAAAAATAATCATAGAAATCTATGGTTTGAAAAACGCAGGCGAAACTTTTGTCGTAAAGATTACACACTCACCTCTATCCTCACTATTTCACTTATTCTGCGCCCTTTCTACTCCTTATATATTGATGATAGTATTAAAATACATCGGAAATGACAGATCTATGATCTCCACTAGCATTTATACCATTACAGTATCGTAAGAGACATATCCAAGTCAGCTACGAGTTTATTCAGAACCAAAACACATATATGTGTTTCCCGTCCCCAAGGGGTTAAAATATTATTTGTCAGCATGAATATTCGAATAGACTGTATGCAAAAAAATTTTTTTGGCAACTATGATGGATGGTAAAAATTAAAATCGCCAACAATTTTTCTTTTTTTAAAAAAAAATTCTTCCGTTCTATATTTCACAGTTAGTATGTTCGGTATCCTTCTACAATGCACTTAAAAAAGAACGTGTGACAAAAACATTCATCAATTTTTAGTATACAATGTTTAAATTGTGCAGGTAACATGATTTCTTTTTCTTATTTTGTCTTATATAACAAACAATTTATTATTTGCTTAATCATTTATTGATCTGGCTTTGTGATATCACTATTTATTGGTAACTATTGTCTTTAATTAGAGTTTTAATGTTTATTTCTACGCAATGGATATATGTGTTAAACAAATGAACATGATGTCAACAAAGAATTTGAGAATGATCAATGAAAAATTAAATCCACGTTTACCACCCATTCAAACGATTAATGACGCACTACCTATAACAGATCATAGTAAAAATAGAATTAGAGGGACTTTAATAAATGAAAAAATGCCATTTTCAACAGGTATTCAAACATTGTGAATTTTCATTGCTTCGTATTAGCTACAGCTGGAAAAAATACATTATTTGTATTCTATTTAGATATAGATGCCGTCGGAGCAACTCACAGCTTCTACGAGTAAGTGAAACACTTCCATGTAGTTTCGATTACCATTTCTTATGGCCATAAGTTGTTTAGATCTTCACCACCTGAAATTCTTCTGCTCGACACATACCCACCACGAAGTAAGTTCAAAAACGTTAAAACCGTCGATTCTTTTTAGTTTATCCAATTTTTTACATATAGACTGGAATGCTCCATACTCAAGCGCACCCAAACAGGGAATGAATAGGTAGGTACAGTATCTTTCTGACTTATTTCATTATTTTTTCTGCAAGTTAATTTTAGACGACTTGAATCCAGCAGTCACACATTAGACGCTCGTTTTGGTAGGTAGCGATATAAATAATCAAAGTATGGTGAATATTCATGTCTTATTCATTGTAGATCTTCCGTTTCCCTTAAATAATCCAGAGATTGATTTTTTCTGAATTGGAAAGTTTTCCATCACCGATTAGCGATCGTTTGCCAGTAAGTCTCTTTGAGTCAAACTATGATCGAGGTTTGTAAATCTAGTTGAAACTCTTTGAAGTGGTAGAATTATGCAACAAAATAAAGTTGATCCCAAATCAATAAGTCTAAAGCACACAGTACCTTTGTCATTCTGTGTATTCACTATACTGTCAAGGTAAAAGTAAGTTTAATGTAACTCTCTTTCATTGTTAAAAGAAACATTCTCTCTTTTCTTTTCCACGAGAAACAACATTTTTTCTTTTTTTTCTACTTTTTAGTCTTCACATCGTTTCTACGGTCAAAATGTAACGAGTGCTTGTAGTCGACGTTCTTCAATTTTATTTCAACGCGTTGAGCGTTGCGATGAACTAAAACCTCAGCGTGAAAACACATTTGACACTGTTTGTGAAAGTGTCTCAGAAAGTGTATTAGAAGTAAATCGAGTACCATCATCATCACGTCGACGACCATCACCTTATACCGTTTTACCACCGATAACCGACGAACCTTTATCATTCAGATCTCATCATTCTAATCTATTATCACAATCATTTAACGAAAATGAAATAGAATCTAGTCGACTTAGAAAAAGTCCACTCGATCGTTTAAAGCCAGAAATACGCGATCGCGTGTTGAATCCTGAAATACTAGCTCATCTAGAAGCGGAAAATCGAAGTAGGCGTAATTCATCGTGTCCAGTGTTGGCTATAAGCGTCGACGGTTTGATATCGTCACAAGAAAAATCAAATGATGAAACATCCATTGTACCATCATCTGCAGCAAATGAAAAAAACTTAAATCCTCTAGCAAAAGTGCGTAGAACAGCTTCACAACATGCATCAACAACTACTACTCGTACCGGAAAATTTATGCTTGATATTTTCCAACCACAATCAAAAACGAAAACTACAATAACTGATCCACTAGTTGTTCAAAAAACGGTCTGTCAAAAAGCAAAAAATGTCACTAATTGTGCAACACAAGAATGTCAACAGAGTAAAGTTATACAAAAGAAAAGGTAAGTACTGCAGGTAAAGAAACTGAAATATCGTTTTGTCAGTCTCCACAATGCAGCTGAAAAAAGAGTCCCAAGCCTTGAACATAGTATGAAGTCTTTGCCATCTCTAATGTATATTTCATCATTTTCGTTTAGTTCCGAGCATGTCGACAGTGAACCACAAGCAACGAAAACAGGAAACTCTTTTCCTGTATCGTCAACACCGCCGCCATCTGTTGTTAAATCTGAAATGACCAACATATTAGTTGCAGCGCCTATAGACGCTCAGTCTACTGAACAAAATATAACCCAAATTGATTCTCCGATCGATGTGATGCCTATTAAAGCAATCCATGCAAACGATGTTGATTGTCCATCTATGAAAGAAATGGACTTAAAGCAGACTGATAGAATACATCAACGAGCTTTTCGATTAGATCGAATTTATCCACAAAGAATAGGACCAGTTCCCAAACCATTAACACTTCAGGGTGAAAAAAGTACTGACACTGATTGTTCGTGCAATAACCATGCAACTTCGACAGTATTCAATGGTCAGCGTCGAACCAGTTTAACTTCAGCTGTTTTAAACAGTCAACCTCACATTACGGACTTATTTGAAAATTTCGAGACGAATAGTGCTCTCAATAATCCTTCAAATCCATTCAAAGTAACGAAACGAATGGTAACAGTAACAAAACAGCGTCCGAGAACGACTACAAAAAGTGCAAAGAAAACTCTTAAAAACGTTCAAAAAACACCATCAAAAGTATTAAAGAAAGTTGCGAA